CCTTTCTGCAACCATTTTTCCTCTCTCTCAATGACATGCCAATGGCAAATCTTTCCTACCATCTTAAAAAAGAATTGGGGTTATTTCACAAGCTGAAGGACAAATAGGTTACCCCAGGCTATCTAGGCTCCTTTTATCAATGGCAGTAGGTTGGTTATAATCAGTTTCAGTTCACTGCTGCTGAAGACATGAAAATTCCTCCCTTATTTGACTACACTGATACCAAATTTTGCCACTGCTCATGACACATAGGTCACTAGTCTCCTTTTTAGATCAAGGACTGAGGTCTATAACTTTAGCAGTGGCATTATGGACAACTTCAGATTGAAACTGTCATCTCTTAAGTCATGGGTTTCTCTTTGTTAACTGCAATCATTTGCTCATTTTTACCCCAACAGCATTAGTATACCGGGTTCACCTCACACCCTTGTGTAGTCACAAGGCTATGTATGTTACACATTTTTTGAGATAGTTCGCCATTTCAAGCAATCTTTGCCTGCTCAACTCTGCATTAACTTGTCTCCCAGGTGGGCTATTTTTGTTACTTTTAAAATGCTACCAGTAGACTTTCAAGTCTGCTTTTTCAGAGCTCCTTGAAGCACTGTTTATTTGTTCATTTCCTTTGATAAAAGTATATTTTCTACATTTTTCTCCTCTTCCCTATCCCCCCTTCTCCCATATTTTCCTGGGGTGCCAGAGGGTTTGAAAAAGCACAAAGGAAAAAGTGCTATCTGTAGTAAATAATAAAGGGAGAGAGGGGGTGCAGAGAACGAGCTGTGGGTTGTTTTCGATGTTTTAGTTTGTTTGTTTGCTTTGGTTTTGGTTTTTGTTGTTGGTTTGGGTGTTTTGTTTTTGGTTTTTTTTTTTAAGGCAACTTACAAAACTTACAATGCTCAATCACAGAAAAAATATTAAATGTCAACTACTTTCATAAAATCCTCCTTCTCAAAGCTGGTGGAAGATATTTCCTCTTTATACATTTAGACAGTATACAAAGTATTACACCTTTTAATTTCAAACATAAAACCTAAACATTTCCCCCTTCTTCTGCTGTTGCCCAGAATGGTAAGCTCGCTGGAGCTTTCCCAGGAGTATGGGTGGACAGTTGGTGTCTTAACCCTGCATTGTGCTCTAGATATCTGCATGGAGCTGAACGAGCCACACTCAGAAAGCTCAGGGGACCTCATTTGTGCCCAATGAGCATGTCCTGTGGTTCAGACCAAAGCTTCCGTATACTTTAAGCCCCAAAATGCGTATTTACCCTCTGTTAAGAGACCTTTTTAAATTAGTTGTTTGCCTGCTGTTAGCTGACACACTTCCTTACTAGTTATAAAATCACCATCAAACACTTTAAGCTTCATGATTTGCTTTCTCCATAGCTGCTCTCTCGGAGTTAATGTCACTGTTCCTGTTAATCCACTGCCTTTTGCATCTGTTTCCAATTAAAAGTTAAGGAAGCATTTATTTGCTTTAATCCTATTCACTGACCGTTGCTCTTACAAAGGGTTCCTTCGAGTTTGCCATGACCTTATCAATAGGCAGCTCCAAGAACATGTGCATGCTGCTGATTCATGCCAAGTGATAAATTTACTGCTGGTTCTTGTACTTTGCTTCGAAATGCCAAACATCACCTTTGCCCAGCATGTATTCACCCCCAGATTGTGCAAGCCTTTCTCTTCTTCCTTTATCAAATCTTCAAACACTGTCCGTCTGCTATACAAGCCAGGCGAAGCAGCAAGCACAGATAATGCTGAGTGCCTGGTTACTCAGAAGAGTTTTCTTCCAAACCTTAGAAACAGTGTGGTCTCTCCCCAGAATGAAAGATGGGTGTTTCACCTCTAAAAAACACTGACAAACTTCCTTGTTTTCACCTTCTTTTTGCACAACTTGTTTAACAGTGTATTGCTCAAGGGCTTTTTATATTAGTGCAATATAGCTTTCTGCAAATTACTATAATATGCTTTAAAGATGAATTCCATCTACCCAAGTTAAATAGAAATATTTAAACAACCAAGTATTCAGATCTAGCTCTGATCAAAAAGGAGGCTATTTTCAGACTGACATTCCTGGACTTTGCTTTCTTGCAGATGTTGAATTATAAGCTATTAAAAACTTCTTTATTTCTCAGTCATTGTTCCAAAGGTCTGAAGCACAGCTTTTGCATCTGACCCAGTTCTTCTACTAACTGTTTCTTGAATTAGTTCTTCTTGAGGTGTCACACATAGCTCACTTATCACTCAGCACTCTCACAGGTCTGAACATTTCTGGATGACCCCAACTTATCTGTGCAGCCTTAAACAAATGTGAACCTTTGTGAAAGACAAGCAGGGATCCTCACTGTCTCACACCAGAACCTCACAGAAGTCTGAGTTCCTCTGCACTTGAGGAATCCCAGAAATTCAAAAATGTGAAAAACTCCTAGCAGAAGGCAAGATGACAGAAGCAGAGAAATGAAGGGAAAAATGAAAACAAAACAACAACAGCAAAAAGACAAGAAAAAAACAGAGAGGTGGAAGCATGGGGAAAATGATAAAGAAACAGAAGTTTAGGGGAAAATGGTAGAAAAGAAGAGAGACGAGAAAACCTCTAACTCCAACAGTCTACCAGGTTTTTACTTGATCAGATTTTTGTAAGACAGAATGGCATTGAAAAGAACACTACACTACAGAAAAGCTAACAAAAATTTAAGTACCTGTTGTCACAAGGGGTTTTAGAAGTTTCTGTTTATGACAAGTATATGATGTAAGTGCACAGCTTCAGATAATCATGTAATCCATGGCTATTTCTAATTAATGATATTTGCAAAAATATGGGAAAATAGTGTGATACTTCTTTCTCCTAAATGAATCATTGATAATGCCCTCAAACTGTAATTAACATCACGTTTATTCTGTGAAACTGTCAAAAATAATGAAGACAGTGAGGCTACATCTGACCACATGTGCAACATGCAGGGCACATAATCACGTATCAGACAGATACTTGCTCGCTTTGACATTGGACTAAACCAGCATCATACACATAAGCAATCAATCACAGCACTTAAGTTTACTATTGCTACGAGCTCTTATGGGAAGATTAAGGTATGAATACACCCTTGATCCTCCAACATGGTTGAAAGCCCTGCACATTGCCTGCATGCCCTGTATTTTGAAATGCATGACAAAATGGACATAAACTTCCAAATCAATCAGTAGTGTGCAATTAAAAATCTGCATTTTATGCCTGAGAGTATCACTGAGTAGAGCTCACAAGAGGCTATTTTCAGACCCCTTAGCATTATTACCACCAATGCCTCTAAATATAGGTACCTTTTAGAATGTATTAATCCCTCCATGAGAACATCATCTGCTTGAAATAGTTTACCTAAGCAACTTCTGTCCAGTGAGTGAGGCTTCTTCTACACTACTGTACCTCTGACACCAACACTAAGTCTATAAACAAGTTCACTGACAGCACACTGGTGTGTTAGCCTGAGCCCAAAACTTGCCTTGTGTGCATCATTTTCCAAGAACAGTCCACAACAAAGCCAGAAAACATAGTATGTGCACTCAACTCTGCTCTGGGCGAGCACCCCTATGGTGACCACCAACCATCTCCACACATCTAACTAGATAAAAGCTATCAGAAACAGTAACCCTTCTTGAAAACTCATTTAAAAAGAAATGCCATATTCCATGGACATAACTATTTTTTTTTTACTTTTATTTTAATATTTTAACCTCAAAGAAAATAGCAACCATAAAAATCTGTAACGTAAACACAGATACAGAAATAATTCCTCATGGATTATATTTATCATTCACCTCAAAAAAAAAAGTAATGCTAAAATTTGAATTGCATGAAATATTCTAATTCTGTACTTGTCAGTGATCTTCACGATACACCTATGTCTCTGTAGTTTTCTACAGCTCCTCATATTAAACCTGTTCAAAAAACTGTTTCCCTCCTTTATTGTAACAGTAAACATATTCCTCTCCCATTTCTTATAAAACTGAAAATACACGGCAAAAAGTGCCATCAGATTTTAAGCTTGACTTCTCTCCGTATAGAAAGCTATACTCCCCAATCTCTTATTTTACAGGCAAGCAAACACACTATCTTTTTCAATCTTACCTTATATATCTACAGTTTTACATTAATCCAAGTATTTATTTTTTTTTTGTCGCTTATGGTAGCATGTGTTTTAATTTTGTTATATTTAGATTTCATGAAAATATTGACAAGAAAAGCAAACTTAAATTGCTCTTTACAACCACATTTTAAATGTTATTAGGGAAAAATATCTATTTTAATCTCTTTCATACCAAGATTCACAGCCTAACCACTGAATGCCACCATTAACACATCTACATCTGTGCTTTATTTCTTCCCAACTATGGTAAGTTCAACTGTCTTGTCAGTGAAACTTCACTGAAAGCATTTTAAAGAGGAATCATAGAGTATCTTGAGTTGGAAGGGGCCCAAAAAGGATCACTGAGGCCAACTCCCAAGTTGTCAAAATAATACTTTAATATGATGGGTAGCTTTCAAAAAGTTAAGAGATACTATATGCTGTAACCTGCAACATAAAGTATTTGCTGAAGAGGTTTTAAATCCTGAACAGTCTTTAAGCACTGAATTCAATATTTAGATAAAACTTACAGAATTAAATTAATTTTCAAATACTGCACCTAATACTATGAAGAAGACCTCACCTAACACCACCATGTGTTTCTCATCACCTGCATTAAGGCATTTTTGGAATTACTGGGAAGCCACCCTCTTTTTTCTTGCAAGAGAAAGATTCAGTTTGACTTGTGCTACATGGACAGTTTCAGCTATATATGCAGGGTGACAGCTATAATAATTATATATAGCTACCATTTTGGGGCTAATTAATACATTAATAGAAGAGAACTTCCATCCTTCAGGACACATATTGTAACATACAGAGTCATTTCCTTCCACCTGTCTAGACTGGACTTGGATTTAATTTCCGTAACAGTATTTAGACATACCATCCTCGTCTGTCTGGATAATGGTCTCCTCACTTTCCTTCCTCCCTTCTGGGTTGGTTAAGATCATTTTGAGGCTGACATTCGTGACACGACATGCTGAGGTGCTTTAGGGTCCATGTCCAAGCAGTCCGCCTTGCTCTCATTGTGTCCACAGAAGTAGTGGTAGCATATAGTGACATTGAAAGTGTGACAGCGAGTGATGTTGTAACCCAGAGATTCCCAATCCACAGCAATGTGTCTGGCCTGTATCTCAGCAATCTTCAAAGTTTTCGGTGTTCTCATAGGTTCTAGAAAACAGAGTATAATGAAGTAAAACATACATTAACATTCTTCATCCTTGCACTGAACTGTAGCTGGTAGATGATACCTCTGGGAACATAAAAGTAAAGGAGGTGCCCAACAAACACAGACTTATTGCTAGAAGTATCATCCTTTCTACAGGTACCCTGAAGGGAAAACGACTAAGAGTCTTTTTTTATTTCATTCTTCTCCGGCCTCTCTTTGCAGGCTTCAATCAGTGATTAAGACTTAGCAACAGAAAAAGAACTGTTAATTAGCAGATGCAAGAAAAGTGACCAAAAGGCCACCCAGCTGTCACTGCTGGCTTCCCTTCTTGATTTGCCCCTTACCAGTTTGTTTTGGTTTTTTTTACCTGTGTAAATTACATAATACCTCACAGTGGTAAAGAGTCAACATTCACTGTACTCTGTTTTGTCATGCCACCAAGCAATGCTGTATACTAATTATACCAATTACCTTACTGAGCTAGCAGTAACAAAAGTAATGCAGATATTAATTATTGCTTATTATTTAGTAATTAAGTTATTCATTCAAGCAAACCCCCTCAGAAATAGTCCAAAAAGTGCTTCTGGATATGTATCTGTATCCTGCTTCTTTCAGATCCCCAAAACTTTGCCTGGACATTGGTCTGAGTGGGTGTGTCTGACCTGCTACCCAAGCTCAGCTGCTCTCCACACATGTACTTCCACCAGCAGAGTGTGCGATGCTCCCCAAGCTGTCATCAATCTTTCATTATCTCCCTAGCGCATTCATTCCTCATGCAAGGCTAACTTCTATCGTTAAACTTAATTAAAATGATTATGCAATGAAAATCATGACCATGACTATATATACTAGAGTTTCACTGGAAATATAGCAAGGGATCTTTATACCCTGCTAATACGTCCTTCTTCACCAGAGAAAATAAAGCCTGCTGTTGCTACAGCTTCAGCCTTGTGTCCTTGCTGGTGTAAGGTCAAAACAGTCGAGATTGCTCAAGGAAGTGAAATATAGGATTTCTTTTTCTGGGCATAACGGTTCTTTGTAACTTGCATTTATGCAACTAGAGTCCCAACCAGGCTAACAACCTGCCAAAAGCACAGATGGTATATTGAAATAAGGAAATGTGAATCAGTGTAATCTATTCAGCATGCAGTTTGCCAGACAAACTGCAAACAGTTAGTTTCAAACATCAAAACAACCAAATTCTAAATATAACACATAGGTATTCCTAGTAACATGATGTGTGTTGAGGATTAAAAAATGTGCCTATTTGTTTTCACTATCTATCCTTCCCTTTCTGGATTTTTAAAAAGCATGTTCTCTTTGCCCTTAAAAAACTATTTATCGTATACATAGTGAAAAATACAAACAAGAAAGTGGAATCACTGGGCAATAGCTTTCTCAACATATTGTACACTGTAACAATAGAGATGTGAAGCTGAATGATAGCACTGAAAAGGTCCTCGAGAGATAAGACACTAGAAGAGAAGAATGTAAAAAACCCCAGGGTTTATAGAGTAAACAATGGCTGGTGCTTTAGCAAGTACAGACAAGTGTGAGGCAGCCAAAAAGGAAAAAAAAAGGGGGCAGCAGCACAGTAGATCTACTGAAGTTGGTAGGAGCCTCCAAGGAATCAGTATTTTCATTTTAGTAATTTCCTCTTTATTTTACTAATCCAGATTGTGTCTTCAGTCACCCCACACCAGAGAGGGAATTCAAACCTGAATTTAAAATTTATTGGAGCCTCTAATATAAACACAACATAATACATGTTGTCTAGTCATGAAGGTTGAACCTGTTAATGTCTGAAGCTGAGTAATCAGTAACAGAAAATGTACTCAATTTTCATCTTGCTTCTTTCATGACAAGACTTAAACTTCATTCACACTATGCACTTTCAAAAGAGAAGAAAAAAATAAAAGCTTTGTTAATCTTAAAGAAACATTATTTTACAATTCTATGCAAATTTTACAAACGTGTCACAGTATCAGAAGAGATACTGAAAAGCATCCTTTATTCACCTGTCAAAAAGAAAAGAATGAAAGACAGAGTGTGATCTCGCTTTCTCACAACTGTTGCCTTCTTTGGCAGAAATTAAACAACTTCTGCAATATTGAGATGGTAATTAAAGTCTGCAGAGTCTTTCAACAGCTTTGGTAAACTCTTGCCAACTGTCCCACTGCTCCCAAAATGATGCTTTAAAAACACAATTTTACTCTTGCTTCTGGGCAACATTCATCTCGGGGTCTCCAGAGGTAAAGGCCAATTGTTTTAAAATACCACACCACAAAGCCTCCATCTGTAACACCTTAGTAGAAAGCAATCTTCAAATAATTATTTTTCTCAGATAAAGCACCATTGAAATTTTGAGTAGGCTTCCCAAAAATCTCTACATTTCATTAAGAACAACTTTCTCAGTGAGAGCAAAAAGAAGTGTTCATGTGCCACTTCTCCCTTTTCCCATCACACATTAAGGTCTGCATTTCACTGAAACATTTCCTTAATGCTACCGGGATTTAATTTCAATTTATGCATTCACTTATGACCTCTGGATACTTTTTCAGTACTACTAATCCCAGGAAATCAGTTCACATCTTGTCTTCCCAGTTGCAGTTTTCCCACCTTTTTTCTTTCAGTCACATCTAGAACTTTTATTCAAAATGCATGGACATTCACACACATGACTCTAAGTTCTTTGTTGAATTACCCATATCAAATTTGTACTCTATGTCAAAGACAGAAGAAATAAGGATCTCAAAATATCTGTTCATTCCTTATCCTATCAGCTGGAGTTTCAATAGTAATGACAGAAAGCACTTAATATTTTCCAAACATTAATCTACCAATTACCCCTATGAGACAGAAAATGGTGTTAATCCTTTTCTGCGAGGAGAAAGAGACACAAAAAGGTTAATAGCTTGTTCAAAGCTACAAAGTGATTTACTACCAGGACCATAAGAAACCTGAACAGTACCCAGCTCCCAGGTCACCAGTGCTCTGGCCACCACATTGCATCAGCCAGCAGCAGCAGCAGTTTATTTGCCAATGCTTCCACCAAAATGCTAACTCTACTCCTCAGCTCTAGGGCCATTTTTTGTAGGGTTAGTTTTTGGTTTTGTTTTTTTTTTTTCTGGTTGCTGGTGGTTTCTTTTTTTCTCAGAACAAGTTTGAAAAAGCAGAACATGGCCAGACACTAAGTGAATAGCTGAGCATAAGGACAAGTTATTGAAAAAACAAGAGTTCGGCTTATTCATTTTGAAAGATTTCTTGATTGAGAGCTTCAAATTTGAGCAAACCAGCATATTATTTTGCATAAAATTTTGGGGAGGAGGTATCTATAATTTGTTTTTTCAAGCCTTTTTCTCCAGCAGAAAATATGTTTGAGATGGGAGAAAATTCCTTTTGGTGATAGCAGAAAGTACTCAGGGCTTCTGCTGTTGCAGGAAATTCAATATCCTGTGATTATCAAGCTCTTAGACATGCTTCTGCCAGTCAGGATATTCACATCTGCCAATAGAAATACGGCAATAAGGCATATGGAGCATTCGGTGGTGGTGGTAGCGGCAGGGTGGCTTTAGAACCTCCCAAGCCCCTCTGCTGATGGCAGGCTCCCTTCTGCCAGCCCCTTCCTGCACATGGGCTGCTACTACAACCTCCAGTCCATTCCCACCTCTGCTTATGGCCAGCTTCTCTCTCTGGCCTTTGCTTTCAATGCCTGGCAATACCCAGCTCTGTTATCTCCTTCCTCCTCACCCTCCCTTTATCTCTTGGCAAATAAATACTACCAAGCGTCTACTGACTCAGATTCATTATCTGATCTGACTTATTAATCTTACTGAACCAATTAAAACCAGAGGCATTGGGAGACTACCAAAAAAATGAAAACCCCAGAATAATAAAAGAGATCTCTACACTCGTACAGATTACTAAGTCTTCATTCCTTATCCAGGAACTGTATTAAATAAAAGAATTACAAGCACGTGGCACTCGCAACAATTTATGGATCAAAAAGATTTAACCAACTTTCTGGGATAAAATAAAGAACAGCTTTAGTAATTCTCCAAAGGTTAATAATTCAGGGGTAGATGGCAAAACAGACAGAACCTGTTGATCCTGTACCACCTCTCAACTGCAGGATGATTTAATAAGGCACTCCAGATAACAGATAAAATTAAATTCAATTTCTTTAGTGCTTGATAAGCAACACGTGATGTGATAGGTCAATATCAGAGCCTCTTTGTAGAGATTATCTTCATTATACAGAGATGGCAGTGAAAACAAAAGCCTTCACACAGTTTCAGAAGCAGCAAATTTTGGATCCCTATCCTGCTCCTACTTGAACCACTGCTGCTGGTATGGCATTACACTGACTTCAAATTTCTGCTCTAACCACACTGACTCATCTTCATATCCAGGTTAAGAGTGACCCAGGTTGCCTCCATTGGTGACACAGGAGGCAAAAAATAACTGCAGTTGGAGGGTGAGATAATACTGAAATTTGGATAAGGTTTGAGGATACTGCAGAGAGATGTGGGGTTTATATTAAATAAAAACTCTGACATACAAAAGCAAATGTATGACAATTATTAAAGTAGTAAAGTAACTTTGGCTTAAGGTAGTGTCCTTGTAATTTAAAACACAGCATTTCTTGCAGAGGCTCCCTTATTTATCTTGTCTTGCATTTTAAAACAAAATGACAGAAAAAAAAAAAAGTTGTCATTTTTTCTGCTAATATTCTCAATCTGAAAAGCCACTAAACCGCCTCAGACTTTTCTTCTATTAGAACATGAGTCTCTTTGTCCTGTGGCTTCTCCTGACCTTTCCAAGATAGGTCTCTTCTTGGCACGTGGGAAATAAAAGAGGATTCTTCTAAGATGTCACTGTGGCTCCTGCTGCTTCCTTGGTTCATACAAGGTCCTTCAAACTAAAATTTTCCCAAAACTAAATTAAAACAAACAAACAAGTAAGATTGAATGCTACAGTCCTGCTGCTGTAAAGAATTCTT